AAGGAAAGCTGTGTATTGAGAAAAGCAGACAAGTTATTCCAATCCAATGCATCCAGATTGGGGGTCACCACTGCAGCCCCCACAGCCAGCACAACTGCAGTAAATGCCACCGTTTTTAAGCACCCGTGACCACTTGACAGTTTCCCGAGTATCGTCTTACAGTATTTATCTGCTTCCCTAAAGTAAGTTTGGCGACCAACATCTGTTCCGCCGCTCAGTGCTTGTGCATTCTATGTATACAATAGATGTATCATAAATGAATCAGAAAGAAATGCCATAATCTCATGAAAAAGTTTCGGAACAGTAATATGATAAAATGAACGAATACCGATTAAAAAAAAAAAAAAAAAAGCCATGAACAACTGACCTTTTGCCTGAAACTCTTGAGGGTCTCAGCAAGTGCTTGAGGAGAAGACTGTTTGGAAGAAAGTGTCTTCCACTCGCCAGAAAGTTTGCTCAAGGCAGCAACACTAATCTCTATGTTATCCACGTAAATCTTGTCCTGAGAAAAATGAAAACAATTGAATTCTAGAAGACTGATATGGAAGGATTATTCTCTTATTCATACTTAATCCCATGATTACTATATTTTTTAGAATGGAATAACAATTGCAAAACCCTTCTTGGGATTAGCCATTCCATAGCTAATGTAAGGTTTTCTCATTCCTAAATCTTAGGATTCAGTTTTTTAAAAAATAAAAATTAACAAATAACCATAAAAAAAATAAATATATATAATATATACAATAGAAAACATTTAAATTATATTAAATGAAATTATTTTAAAAAATAAATTTCAAGTAAATAATTAAAATTAGTTTTATTTTTATTTATTATTTATATTTTACTTAGATATTATTAAATACTTATATCAAAATAAAACTCACAAACAATGCAATTATAAATAGTTTAGAAAGATATTATTTTGCTTTTTATATAATCATATATATTATAGATTTAATCATAAATTGAATTATATTATAAATAAATATATTCGACCACATATGCTTATAGAAGTTTATGTAATGATATATTTCTATTAGTTAATATGGATGTAAATACATAATTCACTTATTTATTATATACGATGAGAGTAACAATACAAAATATATTTATTAAAATATAATATTTTTTTATGAAAAATTAAAATAATTTTAATATTATCATAAATAAGAAAAAAACATTAATATAAATGTTAGAATTGTTTTTTTAACAATATAATGATAAATGATAATATAAGATGATAATGTAATTCCATTCAGATCTTATTCCTTCTCAAACATCATCAGTGGAAAAACTTGTTGCATTCCATTCCCATAATCATTCCACTCTTCGTCATTTCGTTCCTATTATTCCATCATACAAATCATGGAAAGAAGGGGTAAAGGATGTCCGCAACTCAACCAGGAGTGCAAAGGAGTCGGATAGAGTGAACAAGAAAAAAAATATGATTTCAGTCTTCTTGAGCTGTAATATAGACGAACCAAATTCAGATAATTATTAATTTTCAGACAACATTCCGATGCAAAGGGGTTGAACTAAGAAAAAATAAACGATTGGGCGAGGGGATGTGATTTAATGAATGGAAAAGCAAATCACCAATTAAAATCATACCCATTGCTTATAGCAATCCGGACTCTGAGTCAAACACCATAAGAAGATGCTTGTTGCTTCCTGATAAAGTGCAGGGATCCCTGCAGACAACCAGCTTTTTTCTGAATCACCAACTTTCAATAAGGAACTAAATAGACGCGATGTCTCATGAAAGCTGAAATTCAACAAGTACCTTCTGTAGCTGCTTTGACAGCCACAGTCTGTATCTGCTGTGATACTTGTTTCATAGCCTTACTTCCAGGAGAACCAGCAAGAGCAATCTCTTTCAGAACTGGATAAATCGCCTCAAATCTTTCGGTAGCCTATTACATATATCATTTAAGAAATTTAAAAATATTCAGAAACAAAACCAGACATATTGATTATGGGAAACCATGAAATATTGATAAACGTTCGCGAAATAACACTTACCTTAAGTCTTGCAGAAGTTGGAGGAAAAGTCAGGTGTAACAGTAGCTCAAGCGCCACAGGTGGAATTAGGCGTTCCCCCTTTCTAACAGCACCATTGACTAATATACCACGAGCTTTTGGTGCCGCCAGAATTCTGATAAATAAAGCCGTACATATCCATTCCATTGTGTAAACACAAAAATAATCATTGAGTCAAAAAAGATATAATGTGATGCAAGTTTTTGGAGGGACCAAAGAGTTCAAACCTTTCAACAAGCTGCAAAACCAAGTCCCTGGTCTGTGGATTAGACCCAGATTTTCCTCCAAGTATTGGTAAAATAAGATGTGCCCATAAGTACAGTCCTAGAGCTAAATCTCCTTGAGAGGCCTACACAAAGGATTTATCTTCAGCTAGCTCAAAGTGCACAAGGAATAAATTAAGAGCTTCAGATAGTAGTTTGGATTCTGACAGGCTAACAAAGAACATGCTTACCTGAAGAACAATCCATGTCAGAAGTGGAAGCTTATCCTGTCCTTGGTACTTGGAGTCTTCTCTCAATTTTGGCAATAAAGTGACCAGTACATCAGGTTTTCGGCGTAAAACAATAGCCAAAACCAAAAACATGGCAACCTGAAATATCATACCAGCACACAAGCTTAAACAAAAACTTCGGAAAGTTTATCATTCACAAATCCACCAATATTAATTCTCAATCTCTTCATGCATGGATCCCGAACCCAAAAAATAAAAATAAAAAAGAGAAAAGAAAAAGGCACACCCCAATAGATTAATCTAAAGATCATGGTAGAAGATAATTTTCACCTATGTAACAAGATTTTGTCCACCACAAAAGGACAGATCACAATAGGTACATTCTGACACCCAAAAACTAGTGTGGGGGAAGGCATCAATTGTGTATCTCTATCTACCTGAGACTTTGAAGATGGCTGTTGACCTCCTTTCTTTGGGGCCTTAGATCCCAGTTGTTGGGTTGCCAGGTCAGCCAAAATGGCATCCAACGACCACAACACAAATGTCCCCAATGCCCCGATGGAATGCTGACTAACCCACTCAACTGATATCTTGTAAACAGACTCAGAAACATAAGAAATAGGGACCTGTGCACCCAAAATATCAAATTAGTGGTTTTCACACATCCTTGGAAACATAACTAGAAATAAAAAAATAAAAAATTGAAGCACGGAAATATTAAAAATATATCAGCATACTGACACCATAACTTTCAAACGCATATATACAGAAACAATTCAGGATAAGGACGGCTGGGAAAAGCCACAGGAGTCCAGGAAATAGTCACTATAGAAACTCTGAAAACAGACATTTCGGTCCCAAAAGGAAGAAGAATCTTTACTGTCCACTGTATAAAAACAACAATTGTGCACCCAGCTCATTTATTTATTTATTCATTGAAATTTTTGTTCTTCATATTATTCTGTTTTTTCTTTAATAATGCCACTTTAGAAACACCGGTCACAAACCTGCACCGAGAATTTTTCTTTTCCTTGAACTAGGCCGTTTTAGAAATGGTTTCGCACGTCACATGTACTCAAAATTTCTAAAGGAAGCACAAGTTTTGGTTCAACAAATATTATCAGCCAATGTGTAAGCCGCATTCACTGAAGCAGGTCAATTCCATGCACATCCCTATTAGACGGACAATGGATATCTCCCAAATTAACCCTTAAAGGTGCAACACAGGAGCTTTCTGTAAAAGTCCCATTACAAGAAAGCTTAATGATAATCCGTATGCATTGCCACACCACCAATTTCTCTTAGTATAAACAGAAAACCAAAGTTGCCTCACGAAAATTCTCATACAAATACAATGATCAGCCTATTGCACAGCTAACCAAAAAAACCTTTTCAGTCATTTGTAAATTCACTCATCCAACTCCCCACAATATGTTCAATATTATATTGGTTATAAATTATCTAGTCTCCATCGAGTAGATAAATTTCTTAACGCAAAATCCAACTCAACCCAACCCTCCTCAATATTATCAATATATTTAACCATATCAATCAATCATCCTCACACATCACATCAACTTTAATTCACTATTCATTCAATCATATAATTTTAACTGTCCATCACTTTCAATCACATCTCTCATATTTTTACAACAAATTCACTTTGATCACAATATTTTAAATATTATTTCAATACAAACACAAAATCTACTCAAACCTAACCTCATCAACTTTTTTCAAAATTAACTCTGGTAATCCAACAAATCCAAAATAACTTAAATCCAATCACCCTCTAGGATATTCACAAGAAAAGTGTAAGCGTATTACTACGTATTTAAACCATTTAGCTTCAAAGTATCAATATTTTGAGAAATGCATCCACAAACAAGAACTTACATCAGCAATTTTCACCACGGCAGACTCCCGGAACAACTTGAGCCATGGAAACTGTGATGCACTCACCCCCGAAAATGCACGACCAAAATAATCTGCAAATCGCATCAATTGAATATCTTGTTGCCCTTCAAACGATTCCTATCAGCATACCAAACAGGAAATCCACAAATCAATCCAGTTCCAACGATTTTTTATTTTTTATTTTTTTTTTTAAAAAAAAGGAAAAAATCAGATTCTTTTAAGCTAAAAGAAAAAAAAAAAATGAAAGATAATGAATTTACAGAAACACTTGACAGGAAAGCAGCGAGATCATCGGCATCGATCTTGCCGGAGGCCTCGGCCACCGTGACCTTAGGCTTCTTAACCTTCTTCGGCTTCTCTTTCTTATTGGCCTCCGGCGGGTTGTTCTCCTTGGCATCGCCACTGCCATAATCGTCCTCGAAATCGTTATCTTCACCCCGATTCCTACTCGATCTCACCTGAAGTTGATCGTCGTCGTCAAAAACGGCTGCAGCAGCCCGCTGCGCCTCCAATTTCCGGCGACGCTCCTCTGCGTGCTTCTCCAAGCCCATAAAGACGCTGCCTTTATCGGATCCGTTGGGAAGGACGATCCTGGATGACGAATCCGGCGCCGTTTTATCAGCGTAGTTTTTGCGCTGCTTTTTGGCGTAGGTGACCTTCTGCCAGCCGTGGTTGTTGGCATCCTCGACGCGGTGAATTGGTTCAGAAAGCGGTTTATCGTGTTCCATTGTCGATGCAGAAAATAATCAGAATCGATGGGAATAAGTTATGAGCCTTTTGGCAGAGCAGTGATAGGGGAGTTGCGATCGGAAAAGCGGAAAGAAAAAGGAGACGGACGGAGAGCGGAGTAAATAAGGATGGTTGACCGTGAACAGAAATTGACCTCCGTCTTCCCCACAAATACGAAAATACCAATGAACCATTTTTTCACTTGTATGAGGAGTGGGGACATTTGAGGGCACGGACCAGCGGTTCATGGATTGGTTCGTGCCCGATGACGGCCCAGCCAACATCATAGTTCAGAATCATTGGTTACGGTTCCGATTTGAGTAATTTTAGTTGAACAACATATCTCTTTTTCTCTTTCTTTTGTCTAAATATCGAATTTTATAACAAACAACTCACGATATAACGATATACATATTGATGAACTAACAAACAGGTTTAGACCAACTTTGTTCAAACCTAGGCTAATTAAAGTCAAACAAGGAGGGGATAACACGCATGAAAGCCCCTAACGACCACAGTCGGTCATAAGCAAAACAACCACAAAGACACACACACACAAAAAAAAAAAAAAAAAAAAAAAAAAAACAAAAAAAAAAAAAAAAAAAAAAAAAAAAAAAATACACCACAAGAAAAAAGATCAAACTTAGTAGTAATATAAAACCTTACAAACACAAAAAAATAGAGAAAATGAAATAAAATTTCCTCAACTAACACCACAGTATCTCAAGTAGTCTCCACAACTTCAGAAAAGATTTTGAACACTACTCATCTCTGTACCACAGAGTCACCTTCTGCCAACCCAACTGAGCCTCTCTAGCCAGCCCTGACCTTAGCTCCAAAAGAGGGTGTTCCACTAAGTGTACTCCATGATGTCTCAATACCTTCTCCCGTCCAAGCTGAGCACTTTACCACCTAAGAGTCTGGTTCTGAAACAGTAACACTAGAAGCCATGACATGCTCCCCTATTTTCTGATTCAACTCATTATTCACAGCCAAAACCTCTTCCTCGATTTTAATAATCCTTATTGAACTTACGACTTTGATACCAATAACATATCCCCTTCTCAACCCAAATGGATTCAAAATTATTAAATTTGAATTACGAGTCCAAAATAAATTTTAAACTTTTGGGCTTTTCGGATGGATGCTTGAATCTTTTGAATCAACCTATTATTTTATTAATGTAGTTTCAAACTATGAAACAACTACAACAACTAAATCAATTGATTAACTAAACTAAATTTGGAATGTTTATCTAAAAGTAGCCTAGAACGATAACATAAACATACACAAACTAAACAACAACTACCAAGCTTTCATAGGAGAGAATAATACACAATATAGTATACCATACCAGTCGTCGAAGCTCACATAGCTCAGAGGCAACTCAATTGATCAGACACAACTCGTACCTCAGTTAGACTGGGTTAACCTTAGGACGATACAATGTGGTTAAACAGCCCGCAATCGGGTAGGTGGAATGTAGATAAGATCGAGCATGGAGGATACGACCTGACGAAGAGCATGTTGGGGCATACTGTAAAAGCTCGGCATTCAGTTTTTGACAATACCATTTTGACTGAGAATTCACGTTTTAGTCAAGTACACATTTGCAGTTAATTTATTTATGCAAACATTGTTCTTTTATTTTACATTGTAGATAATATGGTTTTGGGTCTGCAACAGTAAGATCATATTATCAGTTCTTTGTAAAATATAACAGTTGGTTCACAGTCTATAAGGGAATTGAACTCCTATCCTGATAGAATGTAGTGTGATCTTAGAATTAGTTGATCTTAGATTAATGGATTACACTATTTTATCAAGGACGTGTTCAACGTCCCATAAGAATATAAGATTATATTATACTGACAAAGAAATGATCTAGACCGCATTATTTGTTGCGTAGTCTTAACCCATAAGAACGTAGTCGGCACTTGCTTAATTGATTTATAAAAGGTGAGACTTATTCTGGTAGGTCGACGTACTCAATACTATGGTAAGTAATGTCGGTTGCATGATGTACCGTCAATATTTTTTACGTTGCAGTCTGAACTTTCCACTTTTCCCTGGCTTGAGAGGTTTCAGGTTAAGTAGGGTCATCGAGTCCATCTACATCATGACAAGCGTGGAAAGTATTAAGCCCTTAACTATGGAGAATATAAGGAATTGAAGTTAATCTAGGAAGATCTTAAGAGTCGAGTGAGTCAGTCTTCTTTCGGAAGGGAAAGATCCCCTACAGGGGGCAGCGGATTTCACGCAAAGAAGCAACGACACGCCTGACTCGGCATGGTTCACCACCTTACTCATTTGGCTTGTTATAGTTTAACCTCGGTGAACTTGGTCTATTATTTCTTAATACCCGCCCGCTAGGTTCGTTCGAGAGGATGGTTCCGCTTGGGGTGCTTCTAAAACAATGATAAATAAATAAAAGTATACAGGGAAAAAGAGTCTTCATGTCTCAAGCCTTTGGTTGTGGGTTGAATTCCTCCGTTTTGCCTCCAAAATATCCGGCACTTGACTGAAACTAGGAATCTTAGAAATGGTTGAGTTGTGTTGTGTTGGTTCTAGGCCTGCCTTCTCCCAAGTGAACGGATTAGCCTCCCCTTTCATTCAGGGCATCATATTCACGTGGGGCAATCCATGACTTATAGTTAACATTGAGCTGCCTCCCTTTCGGAATTGGGGTATACATGGGAATGAGTTCATAAGCCACCCAACTATATCATTTTGAATGCGGACTTAGGTCAATTATATCGAGCCTCTCCTGGAAACGTCGAGTGAAGGTGTAATTGACTTGACATATTTTTCAATACATGGCAGTCCCCTACCCTAGGAAGAGAGTGGTGGCTCCACGCGAAGGAAGATAAAGAGGATAGCATCCTTACGGGAGATCCGATTAATGACATCGTCGAAGTGAACTCAAGAAAGATAGTGATATGAAATACCATACTCTAGTAGAAAATCCCAGTAAACCGGGCGACCAAGCCAAGTGAACCAGCTGGTCGAATACTGCAACAGGAAGGTCGTCGGTGGTCGAATGCCACCAATACAGGACTAGGAGTCTTCTGATCGAGGACAACACAAGTGGAACAGGGAGACAATAAGAGGTCGAGGTAGAGCACACGAATGGTCTGTTTGAAACTCGACATGTAGGCATGGCTGGTTGTACGATCGAACAGAAAGGATAACACTTGGTCTCGGAATAGGTAATGTTCTACCCCATCAAACCTCGAGTTGGTTGCACCATTAGGCAGTCTAATAAGAAAGACTATGGGAAAAGAAGAAATCTTAAGGGTTTAAGAGCCACACGTGGATAAGGCACGTGGTCTAACAAAATTGGGTAGTTTGGGTAGACCGGACTGTTTGGGTTGTACTATGGGGCAGCTCGGGTAGCTTATGCAGTCCACTCAGGCAGTCTTGGAAAACAAGATAACATCTTCTTATATAAGGGAGTTAGTTATTCCCATTATCGTATTACACTATTTACATACATTTACATATTGCACTTCATCTTCTATAAGGGCTAACTTAAGCTCGAGGCTCTTCACCATAAAACCCTTATTGTGTGAGAGTTTTGCAAGTCTACAGGCATTCAACTGGTGGAGAAGCTCTAGATTATGCCAATTCCAGCCAGTCGGAGGTCTTTGACGTACCAGATCGTTTTGTCAAGCCCTGCAGGCGGATTAAGTATCAAAATAATGATTAATAATTGAGTGGTACTTGTTGGGTTCTATTAGCAACGACGTCGATATGCATATCTATATCAAATGAATTAAATCCTAACGCAGCGGAATCTGTAGTTAGGATTATGACTTACGCTTTAAATTTTTTGTCGACTCTGAGACGTTTCTGATTTCTGTTGTTTGAGATCGTTTAAACCTTAAAGTCTGTTGTGTAGCACGCTATCTTCGGGATTGTCGAATCGAGCCTCGGGATCACCAGGTCACATTTGGTCCTAGTCCAGGTGCGTCGTGCATCGGGCTCACGCAGAATACGTCGGGAATGGTCATCGCACGACTGGTGCTGCAGGAAAGCATCATACATCGGGTGATTGGAGCGAGCAACGCGAGTCGGGCGCTGCAGGTAGGAGTCACGCGTCGGGCACTAGGAGCGGAAGATATGCGTCGGGCGCTATGATTGGATCATGCACGCCGATAGCTGCCAAGATTCTAACGAGTCTCGCGGGGGTTCTTGTGGATCTGGATGTCGTTGCTGCGGAAGCTCGCTGGGTCTCGCCAGGAGTCATTGATCGCGAATGCAAAGGTGTCACCAATTATGTCGCAGGTGGCCGAAGGCTGCTCGTGTCTTGTTCCCGGCGATGAATAAATTCACCAGGATGCGAAAAACTAAACCTTATGATCTTCGGATGTATTAATTCAACACCTATTTGAATAGTATTGGTGGTGAGACTAAACGAAACTCCTGAAGACTCATAATATATATATATATATATGTATATATATATATATATGACTCGATTTTTCTCTCATATGGAAGACTAAAAATCGGATGAAATAGAATGTGTAGGAGGTGTGGGAATTGGTGTATTTATTAGCTAAAACAGGGACCCTGTAAATATGGGCTTTCCAAACATGAATAGAAGACATTAAGTCTTTCAACTTGCTAACATTCTAAAAGTCCTTATGTCTTTCAACGTGTTAAATTCTAGAAGACGTTATGTCTTTCATCTATTCCTTATTTGGATAAATAATCAAACATTCTACTAGAGTAATATTTTTGCACTCCCCGTGCATCTCCGAATTATTAATAATTCGTCCATTGATTAATTAATTTCTGACAATATAATTAATCAATTTCTATGTCCAAAATTAGTACCGCTAAGTTCTTAATTATTATTTCGCCAATTAATTCTCTCTTGTGGCTTAACATAATAAACATTCATGAGCTCCTTTCGAGGACGTCATCAACCTGCCGAACCTGGACATAGTGACTGTAAATAATTTCAACGGCACATCATGTAAATAACATTACTTAC